CCGATCTCCATCATACGTATCAAATACCGCAGTTCAAAATATATGATTTTCATATATTTATTCTATCTCATTTATCACTTTCACGGGTTTATTACGAATCAACTTAACGGCCTGCTCCCAGTTGGCTTATTAGCTCAATTGGTAGAGCGCTGCACTAGTATCGCAGAGATCAGTGGTTCGAGTCCCGTACAGGCCTGATTTTTTTCAGGTCTGATTTTCGCTATTGCTTAAATAGCGCTATCTACTGCGAGGATCGTGCATCATACGTATCTAATACCGCAGTTCAAAATATATGAACTTCATATATTTCATTGTATCTGATTATTATTACTATTTGGTAAGTAGTGTAAACCGTTGTTATACTGTAAATAGTGTGAGTAGTCGTATTGTACTGTAAGTCACGTAATTTACTGTATTAGTAATTTGTAAGGTTGTGAATAAAATAAAATAATAATAGAAAATAGATATTTTCCCAAACAGCATGTATCAGCGAAATATTATTCTGTGATATCGTTTCGTCCGAGGGCTAAATGAAATCCTGTTTAATTCGTGAGTAATTTAAATTTTCGTCGGAAAATGTCGAACGACCTTCGAGCCTTGTCTGACAAAATGAACCCCCAAGCGCGAAAGCGAAGCTCCATATTCTAGAAAACCTGCTGAATTCACTCTAGCTCGCACGAATGAAATGTCGTGCGCTTATCATGCGTAAATATTGTGCCCTGCATTAATTTAATTTTCAATTCTTGATTGATAATTATACGAACAGTAAACTCCCCTTTCATGTAACCATGGAAACTATCTACATTCTCTAAATGTTCTCCCCCATTATAGTCTACGGAGGACTGGAAGGATAGCTAATAAAAATAATGCGAACGAACGACTTGTGACGCACTAAGATGTGAAAGTTCCTCGGGAGATTTTCCTTTTCAAACAAATAAGCGATAATGATAAAAACTAATAACGGACCATACTATTATAGATTCTAAGAAAACTTTAAAATTGAAAAACAGGTGTTTGCATTCAATTCAATGAGACAGCGTACAAGAGTTAGGAGATGAGGAACTGAATTTTTTTCTTCTTATCATTTTGGCGGGGGCCGGGGAAGGAGGGGGCAGGGAAGAATAATCACTAAATAACTGACAGAAATATGTGTCTCTATGCTCAATGCAATCGAAGGCTCGCTCAAGCGAGATGATTTTAGGCTCTATTAGAAGTCCTGTTAGGTTAGTTGAATTTCAAGAGCTTACGTAAAAACAGGGAAGTCGACCAAGCCTGAGAAAGGTAAGGGATGAAAGAACTAATGAAATGAAAAAAAAAAGATTGAAATTGTCTATCTTACGTCAGTTTTTATCCACAAGTATATTTTCTCAATTTACAGACCATGCTAAGTGTAACTTTGAATATCTTACCTTTTTTGTTTAATCAAATGATAATAATAAATCCAATAGAGAGAGCGATTATAATCGATAAACGAAAGCGAGAATAAGAATTAACCCGATGCGGACATTTAACACGACGTGATTAGCAAATTAATTACAGAATTTATTTCTCAAGCAGTGAATTTTTTCTTGAGAAAAAAAGAGGTATGTGCCATTTACTCTGTAGCCAGAGAACGTTTCGGTAAAACTAAAAAAAAGTTCTGAACTCCTACAAGAATATAAAGATTTTGGGATCAAAATCTTCATATAATATTTAGTTCACAAAACATGCAAGGTTACCAGAAATGTTTTTTCGAAATACCCGAGGAAGTTGAACCGATCAAAGTCCTGAGCCTGGCGAGAGACGAATCGTTGCGAGGAAAGATTTTTCTTAAAATTGCGAAGACAAAACTGAGTTTTCCAAAAATCACCGCACGGTTCATTTTCATCGCAGTTTCTCATTGAAACATTCCAGATATAAAATGTTTATTTTAGAAATAAATGAATCATTGAATAGAGACACTGGTACAGGCTTTGTTTGCTCTTATCATTGAAAGAGAAACATTATCCATAAAAGGAGTGCATGCTTGTAAAGTTTTCAAACAATCTAGAAGTCATCGTAGTGAGATAAGATTTAATCAGGACAAGGGAGCCGAGAAAGCCAAGTTTTCTTACCAAAAGGTAAGTTCTCACCAAAGTTTTTAGCCGGAAGTTATTTGCAAATCGTCCAACAATACAACGCTTCAAATCTAAGAGATCCATTTTAATTTCGTGTCTCTAAAGTTACACGACTAAACACCTACATAACCTTGATTAGACATTATAATAACTTCTCATCATCGTAGACAAGGATTATAATCTCATCGTAGACAAAGATTGTAATAACATTTAAAAAAACAGCTAAATAACGGCATTGAAAAAAAAAGGAATTGGAGCAAACTTTGGGACACGACATACTATGGTGCGGTAAGTTAACAATAGCATAATGAAAGTATGGGCAAATTTTGTGGGTGTTTTTTTGGACTCTTTCAAGCGGAAATTTGTCGGCAACCCTTAGACTGTTGCAACACTAGACGAATTTATTCGAAGAGCTTTTTTCAGAATTAATTGCTCTCGACGGTATAAGAAGATACAGTTTGTATACTGTTATACTGACTCAGGAATTAAGATTCTTCACTTGAAAGTCAATTTTGCGAGGCGATGCAGCCTGGTCATATGGAGCGACCATGTCTTGTAAGCCAGATCCGACTTGACTCGCTTCAAACTTCACGCTGATTTAATATTTACCTTGAATAGTTCGGTCTGCGAAGTGATCTTTACGAACAATTTTTAAAATGAAATCACCATTGTACACTATTACCTCGATCCACACATAATAGAGGCAGACGAATACGGAATGCAATTATGTAGATCTAACCTAGAGCCATCTAGTTCGATAATAGTCGTCAAAATGAATTTTTTTTTTTCTACACCAGGACATTTTGGGCCGCAAACATGAAACATTCACCGACATGCCTTTTAGCTGTCACTGTTGTCCTTTTTATTGGTAGGTTTTGTTATTTTTTTTCAATTTAATCTCCAGCTCTCATGTTCCGTGTTTATAAAAAAATTCATAAATATTACAGCTAACTTTTGAACTTAACCTTTCTCCTTGTTTTCATCATTCATTGACAGGAGTGGAACTTGTTAACGGTATGTAAACTTAGAATCTTTTTACTTGGATATACCGCGGTACGCGAAGAAAATCTGAAATTTATTGGCCACAGAGGAAGTGTAAAGCCGTTTTGAACTTAGCTGAAAAAGTAGATTTTGTTAAAATATGGCTCCTTTGAATATTTGCTTGCCTGTTTGTTTGTTTGTTTGTTTGTTTCGGTATGTTTTATATTGATCGAGGTCACTTTTTAAGGTTATACTTCATTTCTTTTAAATAAAGATTGGTACATACTTTCTTGAATATAATTAGTTTTTAGCAAGAGACTAGTTTATATTCTTGTTTTTAGTTATTTGAGTGAATGTGCAAAGTCAGTGACATTACTACACAGTATTAACGGATTTTATATATGGACATTCGATGGTCTGAGATGTTTCATCTTTCCCTCATGCTTAAGTAAAGCTGAAGTGAATGCACTTAATTTACTCGTTTGCTATCCTTAGGTGTGTGACCATATTTTAACATTTTTTTTTTCTGCTCTTCGATCTCAACTTTCAGGGCAATATTCTGCAGTCGGTAAGTAAACCATAACATTGAGATATTCATAAGTTGTCGAGTGTGGCATACGTTAGAAATAAAATCAGTCGTCATTGCTGGAAAAACCGTTCTATTTATTTCCATGCTGTGTTGTTCATAACTATCACTTAACATTTAATCAACCATTGCACGATTAATAAAATAGCCAATAGTCTTTTCTCAATTTCTTTTTAGGAAACATCACTTCATCTAGCTCAACTTTTAAATTTTCTTTATTTCAAAAACACCGAAAGAAAACTTCGTTATTTTTAAACAATAACTTTTCGATGAACCGATACCACCAACCCTACGTATGATGCACGATCCTCGCAGTAGATAGCGCTATTTAAGCAATAGCGAAATTCAGACCTGAAAAAAATCAGGCCTGTACGGGACTCGAACCACTGACCTCTGCGATACTAGTGCAGCGCTCTAACCAATTGAGCTAACAAGCCAACTGAGAGCAGGCCGTTAAGTTGATTCGTAATGAACCCGTGAAAGTGATAAATGAGATAGAATAAATATATGAAAATCATATATTGAACTGCGGTATTTGATACGTATGATGCACGATCCTCGCAGTAGATAGCGCTATTTAAGCAATAGCGAAATTCAGACCTGAAAAAAATCAGGCCTGTACGGGACTCGAACCACTGACCTCTGCGATACTAGTGCAGCGCTCTAACCAATTGAGCTAACAAGCCAACTGAGAGCAGGCCGTTAAGTTGATTCGTAATGAACCCGTGAAAGTGATAAATGAGATAGAATAAATATATGAAATGATTTTCATATATTTTCATATATGATTTTCGTATATTTATTCTATCTCATGTATAAGAACTGTTCACACGATCCTGAGCCAAAACGGTAGTGATTGCCTAATTAGTTTTTACCACATAAAGCAAACCAAAAGTTCAGTAATGATGGCTCATTAATCACCGTATGGACATTGGAACAATAGGGCTATCAAAAGATATGGAGAGCCGGAAATTTCAACGAGTTTTCTGTCACGTGAGAGTCAAACACTGTATAAACCATCTCTACTCACTTTTCGCAAGGTGAAAGAACAAGGTCGGAACCATGCCAAACATCAGCTAGTGCAGAAAGGGCTATCAAGATATAGGCATATATGCCATATGTTTTTTCAAAAAGCTAATCCGTTTTGTTTTATAAAATGAACGAGAAATTTGTGTATTTCTGAGACTAAACTTACGACGTCATTTTTTGTACAATTTCAGCAGGAGTGCACTTCCTTCGAATGTGGAGAGCTGGGATCAAACACCTGGGGTGCATTGAGCCTTTCGCTAGTTCATTAAACAAATTCAATTTCATGAAAATCTTCATTCGACGTTCGAGCTCAAAACTTAACCATCTTTCTTTAGTAAATCTCAACACTAGACGGGATTCGACACTGTTGAT